ATGGCGCAACTTTATCATCTCATAACTAGAAATTGGTAGAGAAATTGGTGGAGGGATTGATTTCATATTTAGAAACTCTTGTCTCGATGTCTCCTCAGCTGGAGTTTAATGTGTAACTCCTGTTTTTCGTAGATAAATATTGTTCAGTTTGGATGTCAATTGTAATGTTTGCCGAAACGTCGTAAACCTTGAACATTCTATGAGGCTGACCATCGAAAACCGAAGTTTTAGGCCTACGTTAATTTTTATTGTTTGCATGTTTGCGATGTAAGTAAAGAATGTGTGTAATTTGAACATCATATTCAGAATAACACATAAAGAGTGGATAAACAGAAGGAGGGTTGTCGGTTTATAGGTTATGTTAGGCAATATTTACTCTAACGTCAGTACAGAATGACGTGCTAGTGACGCCACAGTCTCGGCGCATAACAAATGTATCACAAGGAAAGGTGTAGTGAAAGTAGAAATAAACACGTCTGAAAAAAAAAACATTCTCCCAACTTCATTACCCTCAGTCTTGATTGACTCACGTTTGATTAATTGGCGTCGAATGATAGATGATCACGTGAATAATAAATTGGTAAGGATGTGGAAGGAAGCGTGTGTCTCAGAATCCGCCTGCAGGAACCAAAGAAGACATCAAACCCGGGAACTGGGAATGGGGAGAATATTTTGGTAGACAGTTTCTGCTGTGGATGTCTTGACAGACGTTTCGACGATGGCCACAAGTCGAGAGTGCGGATGAAGCGGGAAGTTGGAAGTTATCAGTAAGCGGTTACAAGAAAAGCTAGTGAGCAGGCGACCAGGCCACACGGCAACGACTTCACCGTCTCCCGCCAGACTCTCGCTTGGTCGCCCGCGCGTCAGACCCTCCTGGAAATACGTCACAGTGCCTCTGCAAGAGGTCACATGCCAGAGCGTAAACGTTCTCCTGCCGTATTTTTGAATATACATTTTCAGCGACAAATTGCTTGTATGTAAGGTAAAAACATATGAAGTTGCTTCTGTGCTTAAACATCACACAATAGAGACGTATATAGCCACGGTGGTATAGCGGTTAGAACGGCTGGCCTTGTAATCCTGGGGTCTCGGGTTAGATTCCCGGCGGTGCCCGAATTTATAACTTGTATTGGGCAAGGCCGTGGTCTAGGCAACACGGAGTTTTCCTCCGTGGCATCCCAACAATTACTCCATTCACACACTGAAGAAGGCAATGGCAAACCACTTCTGGATCATCTGCCAAGAACGTATATGAACAGGTCCCAGTCCGATAAAAGGATGGAAGGATCCTGTTCATATGGACCTGTCGTCAGACAGAACACTAAATAAATAAAAATAATAGTTTTATTTCCGATGAAATAGCTGTTAGTACCCGTCGGACAATTTACTGGGAGAGCCCCAGAGCCAGTATTCGAGCTAGGTGATGAAGCCAGTAGCAAGGACGGGCGTAGTAAATCCTGCGTCATATCGGAAATTTCTGACCGCCGGTCTGATGTTATCGACACTATTACGTTGTTTGTGGGACAAAATAAGTCATTCAGAAGAGATACGACGCTAGGCGATAAGCGACGGAAGTATTTAGTCTCAGTAAAACGTTTTGGAGGTCATCCCTGTGTCTTATTTCCGATGAAATAGCTGTTAGTACCCGTCGGACAATTTACTGGGAGAGCCCCAGAGCCAGTATTCGAGCTAGGTGATGAAGCCAGTAGCAAGGACGGGCGTAGTAAATCCTGCGTCATATCGGAAATTTCTGACCGCCGGTCTGATGTTATCGACACTGTTACGTTGTTTGTGGGACAAAATAAGTAAACCGACCGTCATTCAGAAGAGATACGAAGCTAGACGATAAGCGACGGAAGTATTTAGTCTCAGTAAAACGTTTTGGAGGTCATCCCTGTGTCCATCATCATGGTAGGTGACCTGTCTGTCCTGATGATGATGGATACAGTGTCCTAGTTCGACTGTAATCCGACACGGCTGATAGCTTGGAAATAAAAATCCTCGTAGAAAGTCTTTGTTGGAGTAATAGACAGAAGTCCTATTTAAAATTCTGGATGTCGCCGATTCAGACCGCCTCCGGGAGGCTGACACGAGCTGTACCTGATCTTCCTCCGGCACGTAATTGTACAGTTCTCTGGCGGCATGTTTTAAATTGTGACTTCGTAAGTTATTATTATTGTTGTTATAATATTTAGTATGTCTAATGGATTTTGCGCCGTGTAGAAGTTACCAGACGTTTCGGAGATATATGGATATGATGGTGGCAGAAATCACCTCTGAAACGTCGCTGAACTTCTACCAGACTGCACGGCGAAATAAACCACAAGACAGTCAGCCTCAAACTCGTCGGACCGTGAGAACCTCAAATCTCACAAAGATAATATTCGCTCATTTAATCAATTCTGCGCCATTTATGGCAAACGAATGTTCATTACCGAATTCACAAGAGCCTTATCTTCGGCCAGATGGATTCTGTGTAACCCCTCCCACGTCGTGGCATCATTACTCTTTTTTTCTGATTGTGTTGTTTTTTGTGCTCGGCTGTAATTGGCCCTGTTTGGCTGCTGTCATGCACATGTGTAAGTGATATGAATTGAATTATTATGCTTTATATTATCATTAAATTACCACAGTTAAATTGACGGGAATGGACATTTTATATGTTTAACAACAACACAGTTTATTGCAAGATTATCTTTGAGATGGTAAAGTTGCGTCATATTGTGATATAATAAATATTATTTATTTAAATCTTGTCCGTCTAATCACAATAAATTCTTATTAAATATTAAAATATTACAATAATTAACATTTAAAATATTAAATGATGTTCTTTATCGAAATATTCGATTTACATTAGAACATCATTTCGATAAAGAACATCATTTAATATTTTAAATATTTTAAATGTTAATAATTGTAATATTTTAATATTTAATAAGAATTTATTGTGATTAGACGGACAAGATTTAAATAAATAAGATTATCTTTGCAAATCGCAATTATTGGTAGAAAATTTGTAAAGTTTCTTTGCGATCAGACTTTACGAAATTTCGCTGCGTTCCGTACGCTTAGGGACGCACAAATAATAGGCCACGGCTGTCTTCAGGGTTGTTGCG